AACTCTGGTTTCTTAATTTTTCCCCGGATTGTGCCTCTGGTATCGCACAAACCCCCGGGAATCATCTGTATGGTGACTAGCAAGCCTGGTCCCCCTTCAGCTGGGACGGCGGCGCTAATACGGTGCTAGCTGCTAGACTGACCTTGGTGCTAGCTGTTATATCGACCTCTCTCCGTTTCGCCAATCTCCCCGGCTTCTACATGTCATCTGCCCTCGAACGGATGTCTGCAAGTGGGCTGCCATCTCTGTGGAGGCTCTGGACCATCCTGGGCTGTGCGGCTGCCATCCATCGTCGCTCGCCGGGATCCTGGCTAATGGCTAACACCGACACTCCAGGCTACTCCACCGTCATCTCTGTGCCGCTTCGGAGCTCCCATCACATCAGCACTCCTTCTGATCAACTCCAACTACCTCACCGACCCCGCTACATCCACAGAGGATCTGGTCGCCGGTTTGTTTTGTCCAAACACGGTGATCATGGTAACCCTCACCGATTCATCACATCCCTCTGGTCGGCTGGTCGCACCGTCGCACAACAATGGCGTCATCAGAACACCGCTACTCCAGTCGCAAAAGACAGGAGCGCCTATGGCCGGATGGACAGAAAACCCGGAGTGGATCACAGCGTCCTGCGCCCCCTTAATGGACTGGACTCCGCAGGCCATTCCACACTGGAATTACTAAATGTTCAGTCACTGACAAACAAAGCTGGACTTATCAATGACCACATCACAGACAAGGGAATTGACATTCTCTGTCTTACAGAGACCTGGCAACAGCCTGAGGTCTACTCTGTCCTCAATGAGGCCTGTCCCCCTGGGTATAGCTACCTCAGTAAGGCCCGGACTACCGGTCGGGGGGGTGGCCTTGCTGTTTTTCACCGCAGCACCATTCAAACCTCTCTACTGTCTGTCCCACCCGTCAACACTTTTGAACATCTGGTTTTTAATTGCAAACACATCACATCACATCACATCACCTCTGCAACCATAGCTCTCATTTATCGCCCCCCCAAACCACATCCATCATTCCTCTCTGAAATTCATGACTTTCTCATCTCACTTTGCACCTCACACTCAAACATTCTGGTTTTGGGGGACTTCAACATTCACATGGACTCACTCTCCTGCCAACTGGCTGTTGAATTTAAACAGGTTCTGGACTGCCTCAACCTCCACCAATCTGTTGTTGGACCCACCCACACTAAGGGCCACACACTGGACCTGGTCATCACAGATTCCATCCACATCTCAGACCTTCACGTCCAGGACATCGGCATTTCAGACCATTATGCAGTCACCTTCAGGACCCCTCACCCCTCCCCCCTCACCAAACCACAACGCCTTATATCCTTTAGAAATTTCAAGAACATTGACTCCACCTCCCTCAATCAGCATCTCCAGCTCCTTTCTCCTCCTTCAAACACATCACTTACTGACCTCATGGACTACTACAACCATAATCTTCACTCTATCCTTGACTTTCATGCTCCACTAAAAACCAGGACAGTCACCTTCACCCGTTCCGCCCCCTGGTTCACAGAGGAGCTGAGACTGCTGAAGAGGACCGGCCGAGTCCTTGAGCGGGCCTATGTCACATCTGGGCTGACGGTGCATAAGTTGGCCTATCGGGAACATCGACGGAGATATGCCAAAGAACTCTCCAAGGCCAGGTCAGCACACTACTCCAACATCATTAACAATAACCCAGGTAATTCCAAACAACTCTTTACCACCGTCAAACACCTTCTCAAACCTCAGACTTCTCCACACCACAACCAAACAGTCACCCAGTGCAACAAATTCTTGGATTTTTTTACCTCCAAAATACACAATATCCGCGCATCTCTCTCCTCCGCCAACAGTTCTATCCCATCAGGTGACATCGCACCCACCACACAACACCTGTCTCAATTCACCCCCACAGTGCAGCAGGAGGTCGAAAAAATAATCAGTAAATCCAAACCGTCCACATGTTTCCTCGACCCCTTCCCCTCCCCTCTGCTTAAAGCTCACTGTCATTCCATCAGTCAACTAATAACAAACATAATTAATCTCTCTCTTCAAACCGGCCACGTTCCGGCCAGCCTCAAAACAGCTATCATCAAGCCCCTCCTCAAAAAACCCACTCTTGATCCTGAATCTCTGTCAAACTACAGACCCATCTCCAATCTCCCCTTCATCTCCAAAACTCTTGAAAGAATTGTATCCATCCAACTTCACAACCATCTTAAATCAAACAGTCTGTATGAAAAATTCCAATCTGGTTTTCGTCCCTCCCACAGCACCGAGACAGCTCTCATCAGAGTCACCAATGACCTCCTGATGACCTCTGACTCCGGCTCCACTTCCCTCCTCATCCTTCTCGACCTCTCTGCTGCTTTTGATACTGTTGATCACCACATCCTCCTTCACCGCCTCCAACACGACATCGGTATCTCTGGCACCGCCCTTCAATGGTTTCACTCTTACCTCACGGGAAGGACCGAGTTCGTAGCCCTGGGGGATGCTAAATCCCACCCCCACTCTGTTGTCTGTGGGGTCCCCCAGGGCTCTGTGCTCGGTCCAACCCTCTTCACCATCTACATGCTCCCCCTTGGTCGTGTCGTCAGCAGGCATGGAATACAATTCCATTGCTATGCTGACGACACACAACTCTACCTCAAGGTCACCCCCTCCTCCACTTCCTCCTCCTCTGTCACTCAACTGGACTCCTGCCTGGAGGAGATAAAGGCTTGGATGAGTGAAAACTTCTTACAGCTGAACAGCTCCAAAACGGAAGCCATTCATATCGGCACCCCTCACCAGCTCCGTTCTTCCCACATTTCCTCCGTCTCTTTTCTCGGCCACAACTTTTCCCTCTCTCCTTCCGTGACTAATTTGGGAGTCAGGTTTGACCCCCATCTTAGCTTTGACGATCATATCAACCATATCTGCAAGACTTCCTTCTTTCACCTCCGTAATATCGCCAAACTCCGGCCATCTCTCTCTCGTCCTGCAGCAGAGAGGCTCGTCCATGCCTTTGTCTCCTCCAGGCTGGACTACTGTAACGCGCTCTTCATCGGGATCCCGGGCAAGAGCCTACAAAGGCTCCAATATGTCCAAAACAGCGCTGCTCGGGTCCTGATGAGAGTGCGTAAACATGAGCACATCACCCCCATCCTTCACACTCTGCACTGGCTCCCCGTTCACCTCCGCATCGAATTCAAAATCCTCCTTCACACCCATCACTGTCTGCACGGTGTAGCCCCCACCTACCTCACCGAACTCCTCAACCCACTTACCTCAGCCAGAACCCGGTCAGGCCAACTGCACCGTCTGCGCCCGCCCAGGACTCGGCTCAAGACCATGGGCGACAGGGCCTTCGAGGCTGCTGCTCCCCGTCTGTGGAACGCCCTCCCCAACCACCTCAGGGCTCCACAGTCGGTGGATGCTTTTAAAAAAGGACTCAAAACCTTCCTTTTTCAGAAAGCCTATCCTGACTAATCTTATCTGATTTTATCTGCTGACTGTTTTTATTGTTTTGTTCTGTTGCTCGATTTTACTGTTATTGTTGCTTTTATTTGCCTTTGTACTGTGCACTTTGAGATTTGTATTCAAATGTAAAGTGCGTTATAAATAAAATCTATTATTATTATTATTATTAATGATGCTCATTACCCATGCCGTTGGAGCCGAGCTGCACCAATTACATCGGTGTATCTGATATAGGCGGGCCAGAGATGAGCTAAACAGATGACACCAATGCTGCGACGATGAAGTCCGGAATCAGTCAGTAAATATTGCAAGATGGCTACAGATGAACACCAGTTGTTTGAAACGGCTTTGGCCGCTACAATGAACGAGTTAGACTTGGCTTTTTCTCTAAAAGAGGAACAGAAGACGGCGCTTGAATCTCTCCTTTGCAAGACGGACGTTTCTGCTGTGTTGCCGACCATATACGACAAGAGTCTAATCTACCAGTTAGCTCCGCTGGTAGCTAAGTGTATACATCACCCCCTGTATTGTTCTGATTGGTCGTAGTGTTATCCAATTGTGTGCAGTGATATTTACAAATGCATGCTTGGTGCCGCCCCTCGAGTTGGGCCATTTGCATTACTCATAGCCAGACCCTAAATCTTTCTAGATTTGGGTCTGGATTTCCCGGCTAGATAAAAGGTCTGTGGTTAACACAAACTTAAGAGACTTTGATGTTTTGTTCTACGACATAAAATACGTCAGTATTTTAAAGTTTACTCGTTTTGTAATGTTGGTGACGATCGGTCGTATAGTTTGCTTACACCCAAACTATATATATAACGTTAGCTTTTTACTTCTGGTGATCGCATTTGGGCTTCAACAAAGTGGAAAGCTGTGTTCATTTGTGAAGATTATCTTACTGAACAAAACCTGTTGATATCAAATGTTTGCTGATTTTCAACAGTAATCCAAATCCAACAGAAAAATCCCGTATGACACAAAACTTTGTAAAATATGTAGGCCCAAATAGCTCATAAACCAGGTTTTTTTCAGGCACTGTCAAAGGTTTCTTTTTTGTAAGAGCAGCAGTAAAACTACCCCATATTTTAATCATTATTCTTTTATTTTATAAATAAATAAATACATTCATATGACAGGTAAGGTGTAATTATGATTCTATATAGTTCCACTTCACACTAGAGCAAATTTTCACTCATTTCATGTTATGTTGCACTACTTTGAAGGATTTCTAGCAAGATTTCTTTTCCATAAGAAATCCACATTGCACTGTATTTTTCAGCAAACTTAAATTTAACTTTGTCCTTGAGCTTTAAATAAAAATATTTAACCAAATAGAATAATTGTATTTATTATCTGGGGACAGTTTATGCATTCCTATTTTTATTCTTCCAGAAGCACAAATCCTATTTTCCTTACTAAAACTGACTCTTTAATTATCTAGGCTAAGTAAATATAACTTAATTGATGTGGCTGAATAAATCCAGATTGGATTAGGAAAAGCACTGGTCAGTAAAAACAAACTAGTTAGACTCTGTATTTATTCACACAAAACATAATACATTTTCTTCAATAAGGCAACACAATACTGTATATACATACAATGATCTATATGTATACCATATTTAGATTTAATGTTGTTATTTCTTAACTAACAACATGTCATTCTTTACTATCACTAGCAAGTGTAAATAAATAGTTTAGCAAGTCATGTAAAAGAGTACCAGATGCGAAAACTTCAAGTCATACTATTAGTACATCCAATGCAACAATCTTTTACTCACTGTGGTATTTTCTGGTTATTGATATATTTTAGCTGCAGTTCGATGACTTGCTGGAATATAAAATGACTTTTTTTTTTAAAGCTGTTAAAGGGGCCCCGTGGAGTTTTCTTGTAAACAAACAACCATTACATTCACTGTTACTCAGTGAAATACATTGTGTATCCTTCAGGTCTAACAGCAATGGCATTGCAAGTCCATTTTTATAAGGATTTCAAATCCAATACTGTTTACATCATGTTTGAGAGCTTGTGGTCTTCTTCTACTTTTCCTTTCTGGTACATTGCTGCATTTCTTGGTGAATTACTGCCACCTGTTGATCAGTGGAGTAGCATGAAACCACTGGCAGGAATGCGTACTGCATGTGCACCTTCGTTTGCGTGCACAAGACAAACTAAACAGGGACTCACTGAAGGAGAAGTAGGTCCACAGCACCTCTAGAGGTCTGAAACTCCACAGGGAACCTTTACAACCTTCAACCTCAGTTAAAAAACAAACAGCAAAAACAGTATTTCGAGAAAAAAAAAATCAAATATATTCCTTTTCACAAACAGCATCAACAGTAATCTTCATAATTCCCACTTGCATTATAAGGTACATTAACACTGACATCATCATTAGGTGCTGGAGTGAGTGTCATTCCTAAACAACATGAGGTGACTGCAGTATGAAATACATGGCTGTGACTTTAAAAAATGTGAAGACCAAAAACTTTTTTTTTTTAGTGTTAAATGTCCTTCCACAGTAATGAAAGTGTTGAACGTACTGTACAGAGTGACGCAGAGCGAAATTGCTGTTAGCTTGTTACCCATTCTCTTCACAGCTGATAAGATTGTACAATCATTTACAAAAATATATTCTATTCTGCATTAACAAGTGACAGTAGTGATTAGTAATGGTTAAGACGCTGATGAGACATTAAGTGACATCAACAAAACACACACACAAAGCATAAGAAAATGACATCAAGCAATTGTACTATACCTCAAACCACTGTATACAAAGCTCACAATACAGTCTGCTCATACAATACATGAGCAGCACTAGATGTCCCCAACGCCCAGGGCCATGTCACTCAGCTGTTTCTGACCTGCTTCTGTTCATTTGAGGGTCACGTTTCTGGCACATTAACTGAAACAGGCCAACAGAGATGCTCTTTTGTCCCATTTGTCTGTGCAGCGTGACAAAAACAAGTCTGAACTCAAGCCTTAAAACTGCTGCAACACAAGGGGCATCAAACACTCTTGGAATGTGTCAGGTAAGATTGTTTTAGCGAAAAGAAAAAACACCACTGTAACTTGTCACTCTAAACATTGAACCCAAACCTCATTTAGCATTTATGAGCAGTAAATAAACAATTAAGAAATGGTTTATAAGATACTATACTGTAGTTGTAGCAGATATTAGGTCAATTTTAATGGTTTATAATGTCTTTGTTGTTACTTACCCTATGAAGCATTCATAATTTAATCAATGTTTGGTAATACAGTATAACATAGCTGTGATCATACATTATCGTATTTACAGTAGTTTTAAAGACACCTTTAGATAATTTTAGTCCTGCTGTGTATGTATACAGTATACAGGTAATGTAAAAAGTTAAATGATTTATGATAACCATAAGCCAAGTAACAACACAAACATTCTGAATGGGTCCGATGCTGCGTTCAAAGTAAGCTCGTGTTCACAATATGGGAAGATGTGTTTGCAAAGTTGTGAACTCGGAGCTCTATAAAAATTTCCACTTACTAGGTTGTGAATACCACAAGAGGGGGGCGTTCATATGGACTCTTCTTGTGAACACGGTAAACATGACCCCGTTTGAACGCAGCATGAGAGTATTTCCTGTCGCAATGTTTATGAATGCAGTAGCTGTCAATGAAAATATAAAAGAAGTTAAGATCATGACATCAGTGACAACATTTGAATTTTGCATTGGTGCCAGACTTTGGTTTTAGTTCTATTGAAGTGAATGGGGCAGGCACAGCAAATCACACTGTAACCCATCATATCTTTGTTGTTTCAACTTTGAATGAAAAATCCCTCCTCAAGATAAAAAACAGACATGATGTGCAGTGATGTTTTTATGCTATGCTAACTTAATTCAGTGCTGGTAAACGAAGAAGGTCCAGATTTAAAATAATTTGGCAATTTAGCACCACCTCCTGACAAGTAAAGGAAACATTATCCAACATTATTCCTCCTTAATGTTATTCAATATTAACACTTTAGTAATGTACCTGCTAACAAGAGGGGCTTGAGCTGCAGCTTGATCCATTTGGAGATCAATACCAATGATAACAAACACACACATTTAGATAAAAAATGTCAGTCAACATCACCTAATTTGTGTTTTTGAATCTGGCGGAAGAATTTTTCAGTCCAAGGTGAAACAACAAAGGGTTATAGCGTGATTTGCTGAACTGACCCCATTGACTCCAATAGAACTGACACCAATGTCTGGCTCCTACGCAAAATTTGAACGCTGTCACTGATGTCATGTCCTTTTCTTCTTTTATAGTTTCCTTAGTAACTGTTGGGAAGTAAAGAGGGACCAAAGCTGTTGCCCTGGCAACAGAATGGCAATAAAACAGATATAGATATGATTATATAATAATTAAACTACTTTTACTGTTATCAAACATTGATTAACTGCTTGATAGTGTATATAGTATGAAGCACATATTCCTTTTACATATTTGTGTGTGTATTTATTTTTCTATTTTCATTTTCTATATATATTGTGCTACACATATATATATTGTTGTATAATGCATATATATTTATATACTTTTTTTTGGAATTCCACTATGTGTAAATACAACTTAAATGTAAACCTATACAAATATAATTATAAAACTGTATCATGACCAGATTTTCCTTTAGAGGATCAATTAAGTATTTCAGATTCAATTCATAGTTGTTAACAAATACATTAATAAACACACATTATAGTGTGTTATAACAATGTGTTATAAACCATTCATGGTTATACTGATTATAAATGCTAATGTTACCCAAAATATGGTGTCTTTGACTGATAAGGCAATGCAGTGACTGTGGTTCAACACAAAAGAGTCACTCATGTTTTTTAATGTGTTGGAAGTCAGCGCGCTTTGGCCCCGACTTCCATGAGCATCACGCTGATGAAATATTGACATTATTCCTCATGTATCAACATAAACAGCTTACACTAAACCTCAAAACCTGCACACACACACACACACACACACACACACACATGAATACACACTAACAGACACATGCAGTAGGCAAGAGTATCTATCTTCACACCACATACTTGAACAGTTTCAGTTCAATGGGCTGTATCGACACTCAAATGATCTAAAGCAGTATGAATGTTGAGTAAACAGACGCTGTAAAGACATATATGCTGACAGCACCACTTTAGTGCAGCTGAAACAATTCGAGTCATACTTGATTTACTGATGGGTGGGCAATTAATCTGCTAAAATGTTGACAAACGCTTAAAAGACCAAAATTCACTTGTTCCCGCTTCTCAAATATGACTATCTGCTGGTTTTCTTTGTCTTCCACAACAATAAACTGTGTTTCTTTTGGTTTTGGAACATGAGTCAAACAAAACAAGCTGTTTAAACATGTTCACTTGAGAACTAAATGGAAATTGTGATGAGCATTTTCCAGAAATTTATGTTTTTCAAAGATCAAATGATCAATTCATGATACCATAAAAACAATTGTTAGTTACAGCCCTAGGCTTCTGTGGCCCGGTATGGTAGAAATTATAAAAAACACCACAAAATATTACCCTTACACCTTATATGCTTCTGCTTTACAGAAGTAGGTTTTTAATCACATTTCTAGATCTCTTTATCGCTGAATTTAAGCTTTTTTTTTTTTTTACTTTCAACACTGAACTGCAGGTCAGATATCTTATCATTAATGAGACTTCGATGTGCAGCAGGACAGTGCACTGATTACGGGGACTGTCCTTCAACCAGGAACGTCATGTTCAGTCCCCCCTGACATCAACTCTACCTCCTTCCAAAGTGACCTTAAGCAAGACACTGACTGAATCTCATTTCAGGAGAGTGTGTGAGTGCGCAAACTCTCAGCCCACTCACTCTTCTCTGTGTGATGTATCACCGTGTGCCCATCATGCGGAGGGACAGACCGAATCAAAGTGAGCACAGTGTTAAAACTGGAATAGTGGCAGCTTCATCTTTCGTTGCCATGGAAACCACACGCTTGGTATGACTGACCAGTCAGGCTGGAATTTGACTAAAATTTTTTTGATTAAAGACTAATTTGCTGATAGCTTTTCATCCACATTCCCCATCAGGCACAGTATTCCTTCACTTTATAGGCAGGTTTATGCCTTTACCTAGCAAAGACTGAGGGAGACGTTGCCTGGAGACGGCAATGATAAATGAGATTCACTTGCTGAATCTCTACCAGCTCCAGGAGTACTGCTCTGTGGTGGACCCTGACCCTCCAAACTCCCTGTGAAGCTATAAACATATTTCTCCTACTTGACGAATCGTACAGCATCACAAACACGGATGGAGAGAAGTCTCCAGGGTTCTGAAATGTTAAAAAATAAAAAATCAATAAAAAATCAAAGGAATCTTTTCCGGTGCACACATCTGCAGCTAAATTCATCAAAAGATTGAGTATACTCATCTTTGAGATATACACACACATGCACTGCAAACACGCACACACGCACACATCTCAGCTGTAGTTGTAGGTGAAGTTATACGAGCTAGGCTCCTTCGGCACGGGGGGCGGGGCCTCTGGGATGGTGATGTTCTCAAGGTCGAGGAGGCGGAGCTTCATCTCCATGCTGATGAGAGTATCCAGGTCACTGCGCGTCAGGTCACTGCCCATCTCTCTGCCCAGCAGCGCACACAGCCCGTCAGTCCAGATGCAGTACTGCCCCGCAAAACATCACACACACACACAGAGGAACATAAACATTGAGAATGGTGTGTCAATCACAGTAGCTACACTGTGCCATGTGAGGGATATTACCAGATTCAAATCCAGATTCATGTGAATATCAAACATGTAAGAAATTAAATTTGCATGGTTCTGACTGAGGAGCTATCTGTTAATTTTTTGGTGATTACGTAAGTAATACTACATCCAAGCTCTTTAGTTGGAGCAGCATTAACAACTATTCATGGCCACTGGGGGGCAGCACAACAAGCTGAAAACACAACACTGACATATTATCTTCTTATAATGTGGTTATGGCGAACGTTAGCATGTCCTCAGTTTCTGAAAAGTTGGTTCTTTTGCTAACATTCCCACCCTACTACTGCATGTCACTAACTCGGCTTCTTCTCCAGAGCCTTTGTGCTCCACTGTCTCGCAGGTTACCTCGTATCGCAACTACACATGGATCGTGTGACATGATTGTGCTGCTGCAGTGGTCCTGCCTGATGCCTCCTACTTCTACTGTTATTATACACATATGATGATTATTGTCACATACATATATAAATATGTACTTACAACATTGTAGCTATTGTCATTACCGTCTGTCCTGCATCTCTCTCTGTCTCTGTCTCTCTCTCTGTCTCATTGTGTCATACGGATTACTGTTAATTTATTATATTGATCTGTTCTGTACGACATCTATTGCACGTCTGTCTGTCCTGGAAGAGGGATCCCTCCTCAGTTGCTCTTCCTGAGGTTTCTACCATTTTTTCCCCCGTTAAAGTTTTTTTGGGGGGAGTTTTTCCTTATCTGCTGTGAGGGTCCAAAGGACAGAGGGATGTCGTATGCTATAAAGCCCTCTGAGGCAAATTGTGATTTGTGATACTGGGCTTTTTAGATAACATTGAAATTGAAACAGATGCCCATGTACACATGCTGTAGACATGGAGAAACAGATTAAAATTGAGGTGTTTCAGGGCCACCTGAGGAATGTCCAATATTCACTATCCTTTTAGCTCTAATTTGGTCTCCACCAAGTACTGAAGGAAATATCCGTCTCTTTAGCTGCTAAGAGCTCCAGTTTAACTACACACAAACTGTCTCTGTCTGCTGTTTGGTTTTGGGTAGGTGATGTGTTGTGGTTTTTTGGACCTTTTTGCTTAAAACAAATGCCTGCTGCCAACAAATTCTCACTTCCAACACATCAAATATCGACGCTTGGTCTGTTGCCCTACAAGCCAAACTATGACACTATAAGTACCCCTCCAGTGTCAGTTCTGGACACTCAGGGTCACTGTGTCAGTTTATGGTCATTGCATGCACTGTGTCTTTTCCAAAGAAACTTCCATTTTCACAGGAAATGTACAGTTTCTGATTGTTAAATGCATATAGTCTCATTTCCACTTGATGCATCACATACTGTTGCTAAAAGGTGCCTTAGTGTGTCTGTATCTAACGCTGAGGGTCACTGACCAAGCGTCGGTTTTTGAAGAGTTGGAAGTGAGACTGTGTCGCTGTTGCAGCAGTAAGCATGGTTGATGAAAGCTGATGAACCAAAACACTAAAAAGAACCAAAATAATGAGCTAAAAGATGCTAAAATGGTCCTTAGAACCTAGGGCAAGTAAGGAGTCGAGTGATATTTCTCTGTGGGCTCCTCACTAAAAGCGACACCTCTCCAATTATACGTATTTGACCCATCGTTCAAATTAGTACTGAATAGTGCGGCTTTAAGTCACTGTTGCTAAACTTACCTCATATTTGTTGGGTGCAACAAAATTGAGTGTCTCATCGGGATCATAGAGGACAGAGAAGGCTAACTCCAGCACCTCCTGAGAGAAGCAAACAGGACAAACAACACACTCAGTGACAGCAAAGACTGAAAGAACAAACATGTGACTAAAATGACAAGACAGAAAGCTTGATGATTACTTTGTTTTGCTTCAGAGCACTTTTTTCTTTCATGTGAGGGCAGTCCTTTCCGGTCACCACCGACTTGATGTCAGAGACGGGGACTAGGAGAACATAAAAGAAACTTAATAACTGAGACGTTTATTTAGGTCAACCTACTGACAGATTCAGTGTGGTCTGCTGATGAATGCCTCATTACGTGTGTAATGAAAAGAGTTGGAAGTTGGAGCTACTTGAAGGAAAAAAAATCTTACTCTTGTCACTGAGTAGCTCAAAAGGCACTTCACCCTGGGGTGACTCATCAAGGTCTCCATAGTGCAGCACTTTGTGATTCAGGGAGAGTCTGCAGAACCAAAACTTCTCTACAAAAGAGGCAGGGAACATAATGCTTAGCTGATAATCAACAGCGGAAGAGCTCCTTCGGTGGAGAAAAAGCAAAGTGATTGTAGTGATACTGTATGTACCTTGCCTTCGGCGGTTCCCCAGCTTGCGGAAACAGCTCCCCTCACAGAGCCGGTTGAGTCGCTGTTGCTTGATGAGCTCTAAGATCTCGGGCTGAATTCTCTCCCGCAGCTCTCTGGAGGTCAAACACAGCATGAGCAACAGGGCCGAACACACACGTGTACAATACTATACTTATAATTCATTATGATATATATTGACTTCAGACTGACATGATGGGAGGAGACTGGAAGTCGTCCTGACTCATTCTCTCTGACTGCCGCAGACGCAGGATCTCTGAATAGTTGAGGCCTCGAAGTTTATTTTTCAGCTGGTCTAAAGACGACGGCTTCATCGCCAGAGCCCTGGTGATCTGCTCACGGACCACCTGCATGACCTGCTCAGGGTTGAATCACACACATGCATACACGGAATGATTGAAGAATAAAAAAAAAATCAGACTTCCTAAACATTAAAAGGTGATGGGCATGTATGTTTTTCTCATCAGTTGGCAAATCCACCTTTTTCAGATCTACCTGCACTGGTGTTTAGTGAACTGTGAAAACTGTTAAAGTTGTGATTCACAGAGCCATTATTTTCCCATTTAGAAACCCACACTCTGCTGAGAGACATCTTTCCTCATCGAAAGGCATTAATATTTCAAATAAATACTAGATGGTCCCAGGTGTTCTCTAACAATAGATTCCTTGTCCTGTTAAATAGATGTTTGCATGAGCCGTAATTTAACTGTGATCATTCGGACAAAATACTTTCAATTGAAATCGACAGCATTAGGAATATAACTGTTATGCATTATTTAAACCAAAAACCTTTCAGCTGTCTGCGTCAGCGTGCTGCTCACTTACTCACACCACAGCAGAAGAACCTAGAAGCTATAGTAGTTTTAATTGTGTTTAAATATGAAGCCTGACATCGCTCACTCTCATACTGAGCAAACCTCTGTATGAAACGTTGCTCCAGGATTCTTAGTTATGCTATTCATTCATTCATCAATTTATTCAAAACTTCTCTTTTTAAACTCTAACAGTTCTGGGTAGTGTCAGATGTAGCCATTTAATCTATTCCCAAAGTAGAGAGGATTTTATTTTATAACAAGTTCAGTTCTATAAATATCTAATATGTGAGGTCTGGGTAAGGAGGCAGGTACACAATGAACATTGGGTTAAAGAAGGAAATGGGCATTTTAAATAATTTCAAACATCAATCTTAGGCCTGGTTGCCATTCTGCTTATAACGTTAGATTGAGCAATGTCTGACTGAAAATGATGAATGTTATCTATGGCTGCGCAGATGTATCATTCTTGCCATATGGATATGTGCCACATATTCATAGATAGCGGTTATATCACTGTGTCCTGTCCAAAAATGTAAACATTTAATATAGAACATTCATTTACATAATATGGATGTTTGGTTTTTTTATCAGGAAAAAAAATAAGATTACGCTATACACTGACCGAATACTGATGTTCAAATCCAGCACTCGTGCCTGTTCCCTTATATGAAAACGAATGTGTAAAAGACGACGATGAGAGACAGATCAGAAACTGAGAAAAACCTGGCTGTGTACAGACTCAGTGATCACACCCTGGCCATAGAGACCAGCAGATACAGGCAGACCTGGCTGCCTAAAGAAGTCAGGCTGTGTCAGCTTGTCCTCAGAGACAGGTGGAGACAGAGCAACATCTCATGCTACAATGTAGCACATAGGAAGACGTCAGAACAAAGTTGTTCACGAAATGTCAACTTCAAGATTCTGATTCACTCTCTGTTTCTGAATTCACTGCCTTAAAATGTAATTGTGATTTGGCAACACATAAGAAATGTCATGCCAATAAAGCTTATTGAATTGAACTGAATTGAATTGAATAGAATCGAACTGAATTGTATTGTATTGTATTGTATTATATTATATTTCATTGTATTGTATTGTATTGAACTGAACTGAACTGAACTGAGCTGAACTGAACTGAATTGAACTGAAAATTGAAATTGAATTATATCGTATTGTATTGAACTGAACTGAGCCGAATTGAATTGAGCTGAACATTAAATTGAATTGTATTGTATTGAGAGCACTCTAATGACCTTATTGAAGTCCTCAGCTGTGGCCCTCATCTCCTTCCAGGTTTTATTGAGCAGCTGAATGCAGACACAGAAGAACTCCTCCCACGCCCGGTCATGAGTGAAGAACATGGGGTGGTAGTCGTTGCAGCCCTCATTAGCTACACAAAAGAAAATATTACAGAAGAAAAAAATGAAAATTAATATGAGGAGCATTTTTCTCACACATACTATCCTGGAGTGTAGTAATTAATCATACCACAACTTCTGACATTTTAAGATTGTCTGTTAACAAATCTACTTACGCAGTTCTCCAACCTGAAGGATCTCGCACAACATCCGAGTGAGTTCGATGGCACAGCGGCCAAAGGGACATTCATGCTTGTCCTCGCGGCTGCTGTTTTCCAGGACAATCTGTCACGAGTGAGAAGACATGTTAGGTGTGGCTGACTTTTCCAGAGATACGTAAACTCGTGCATGAAGCCAATACTAACCCTGATGTACGTGTCCTGGTGAACCTTGGCAAGGTAAAGCATGTTGTCCAAAGCCAACATTCCCGGAGGAGTCTGGGTAAAGTCCATGGCTGGATTCACATGGTTCTGCATTTGAAACAGAAATAATGTGAGCCAGGAGACTATGAAGCAGTTTTATACCGTTTCTATTTAAATCTATTTATACAGCTGTATTACAGAGGAAACTGAGATCTGTGGCGGAGACTCACAGTGAAGCCCAGCATCTTATAGTCCTTGGTGTACATGGCCTTTCTCTTTTCTGTTCCAGTCGGGTCATTTTCTCCATCGAAAGCAATCCTACGCAGCTCAAAAATGATGTCTCTCTGTGTCTGAAACACAGCAAGCCAGCAAGTCTTTAGCTTAGTTTATTTGCACATACACATATAAACTAGAATTACTGCCTCGCGAACAAGTCAAGTTGCAGGAACAGTTTACATCCACATCTGTCCAGACTCTTATGTAGCCATGACAGCTGACAATGCTTCAAATGTTGCTGCATATTCTAAAATGAGCATGTTCTATACACAGCGTCAGTTATTTTTTAATTATTTTGTTAAAATCAGTATGCCATAACAATATCATGTGAATCCCTCGCTCCTCAAAATGCTCCATAAAAACTTCGGCTATGTCCTCCCAGAGGAAAATTTAGCTGCTCACAATAGTCCTTTCTTTGTCTCATCAGAAAAAAATCAGCTACAACTCAGTTTCAGATTACTAAATTCTGATCTGTTTCTCTGAAAAGATTAAATCAGCAGCAGTTCTTTTGCTGTGCTCACATGTTTCAAATCTGAGAACAGATATAATACAGAGTTGAGACTTCAATTTGATCACGGAGATACATTTCTGAAATTGTGCAGGCTCCTTATTAAGCCAATCAAGTTTCCTTCTGGATCTCAAGCGCTGATTGCTTCAGATAAATAAAAATTACTGCAGTGAGAGGGGAAGAAGAGCATTTGAAGATCTTTAATTGGGACTGGGCTGAGACGAGAGGATGGCTGTTTCTCAGGGGCTGAATTTAACAAGTATGACAAAATGGTCAAACTCTCATATTGATGTTGTATTAAGCTCAGTTATGTCTAGGAGAAATAGGCTGGACAAAGAAGAGCTCTTATTTTGAGTTTTCCTTTCATCTAGGCTCGCCTTTTCTTGTTTGAGGCATTGCTTCTAAGCAGCGGAGCTCCTCCGTTACAGTCAAAGCACAGTATCTTGCTAGGACTGCCAAACATGATATACTATTCACATTCACACTCTAATCAAGTGCCATGCTAAAGATGCAAACTTTCCTTGTGTATGTGTCTATCCCTTTGTATCATTCTTTGATCGCTCTCCAATTCCCTCTCTTTTCTAGTCCACTTTTTCCTCTTACGGCAGATCTATCAGAGTGTAAACCCAACTGAGAGGAGGTTATCTAAGGATGCAGATAATCACTGTTTAATTAACCATGTTATTCCAATGACCTGCCAAACTGAAAGTTCTTTATCTAAATTTTTACCTGGTCATTTGGGTCCATTTTGGTCATCATTCGCTCCTCCAAAAGGTTGAAGGTCAGTACCTGCAGCACGTACAGCTGATGCGCCATTTCTGCTTTGATTGGTCGATTTCCTCTGATAACATGCTGGAAAAGAAGAGCACCAAGTTCAGAACAAAGCCTCTATTTCAGCTACAGTTTGTGCACAAAGGGCACATCAAGTCACACAGCACAAAACAAATCTAAATTGTTCTCCACTGAAGGGAAACTAAAGGTGAACATAAAGCTGATAATGCTAATCATCATCATGGACTGATTACACTCCGTGCATAATGCATAATGACAAGGAAAATGATGTGCCGTCATAAAACACACTGTGAGGGCCCAACATGTAACCAGGTCTCATTGACAGAGCACACAATGCTGGAGCTGCTTCAGGATGTTTCCCTGCTCAAGGGAGCAGGAACGCAGCGTCTTTCTCACTCCCATTTGCAGCCACTTCAGTCAGGCACTTTCAGAAGAGTTGGTGCCAAAGGGAATCATTTTCAGAGCAGATTCTTTTCCACTTCATGGATTTCATGCCATATCATATTTGCTGGTTCTCAGTCACAGCTCTCCAAGTGAGTAAATCCTTACACTCTGAACTGGTAGTCCCTGGGATGAAAGATCCAGTCCCCCAGAGATAGGACAGTCTCTCACATAAATACTTAAAAGTTTCTCAATGTTTTAATAATAAGTTGTTTCAAACACAATCTCTGGGAACTGCTCAAAACCTGTGCTCACACCTGGATATTTCACAGCCGTGTGAAGGCTTAATATCCAGTAAAGCAGAGCGTTGTCTCTGGTGTGCAGCTGCAATAGGCAGAAACACTTTCAGACTGTCATGTCAGACTTGATACTCACATTGAGGATGATGGATCGCAGGTGTTTCTGAGCCAAAGTGCTCGCCATTTCCTGATGATGAAGAGATACGTTATTCCAACACACAGGGCACATGAGGGAAGATGCTTTATTACACAGCAGTGACTTTACTCAAGTTCACCTACAGTAAATGAGAATTTCTGAACTACTGAAATGCAGCAGCACTCTGAAGCTACATTTCCATCACAGGTTTGAACCATTTGCCCTTCACATCCTCCGCTGTAAAACATGACAACAATCTGTCAACACAGTCTGTCTGCTGCTGCAGCGAGCTACGGTTCTATCTTTATTTGCATGGATTATGCAGTGGCTTTCCATGACACAGAAAGAGATAGAGAGCGAAGGCTGTGGGGTGGAGAGGACGATATGAGATGCCGAGGGATGTGTACTCACAGTGAGGTGCTGCTCCAACGGGTTAGTATACTCCTCCTACAGGTTGAGGGGAGGGAGGAGGGACGTGGGTGTAACAGTGATGGAAACAAAGAGCGCACACACATGGACAATGAGATACAGGGATACATCACCCGGCAGAGCATGCAACGAAATAAAAACATAAAACAACATAATGTCAAATAAGAATGTCCAGTAGTCACGACATGTAGCTGTTTGTAAAGCCTCACATGGCCCACATGCGGTGTCAGGCCACCACACGTTTCTTGCTTTTGAAAGGATTTTACAAATCCTGGAGCTGTGATATTCTATCAACCCACAGAGGAAGAAGTGATATTTAAACCACCATTTACACATGAATATCACTGTGGTGTCCTGGTAGCTCCCTTAGCAGATATGTTTATCAAGCAGCTTTGATCTGTCAAGGATTTTTGTCACTGTAAAAAAGCCTGTCCAGTGGACTGCTGCTCTACTGCTGCTGCTGCTGCTAGTATTAATGCATGATTTTAAGGATATTTTTCAAGTGAGAAAGAAAAAATTGTGTAAATGTTCATTTTAAAGAGTAACTCTGCTCTAATGTACCTAATTTTACTACTGTTAGTGATCAGTTCAACACACAGTGCCAGCCACATACAGTATGTACTCCATGTCCCTCTGCTGTATTTATCTCAAAAGAACTGACTCAGTTCGCCCTCCAGTGGTCAACAACAGCAGCTGGAGATGAATGCATGTTCAAGGACACCTGTCTGAACATACTGTGCGTCATATGGCCCAAAACAAAAAAGGGAAGTGTTACAACCCACAGTAAAATTAAGGCAAATACTGCCCCTCCTCCTCTCACAATGTCATCTGACCCTCCGCCTTCACACCAACTCTGCTGCATTTTTCATCAGCACTTTCAAAACTGACAGAAGGTTTTCTGAGGACTCAGGGTGTGAAGAACTTCGCGTTCTTAAAGAAGAAATACTCTACTATATGAATATTTTCAATCTCAATTTGCCCTGAAGCACAGATGAGAGACATCACAACAGCACCCTTGTAATTTTGTGAATTTTGGCCAGATTAAAGTGATTACCTCAAGAACATTTCCATTTCGCTCTCCTTAGAGCAGTAACTGTCCAATCCTACATTAGCACGGAGAGCCTGTTAAACTTTCAGAAAATACTAAACGTGTGCATTAAGAACCTGCAAGTCCAACAGGAGATCGTATTTTTAGTTTTTCCAAAGCCAAATCACAAAGGGAAAGATCCAAGTAAGTTTCTGAGCCCGTAAGTCACCACTTCAAGTCACGACTCACGACTTCATAGTGTTCCAGGCAAGTCACGCCAAACTGTCAAAGCAACATGGCGGACCATGTGGGGTTTATGTTTATTTATGATCACTTCTATTGCCAAAGGTGCCGGTTCCTTGTTCATTTGAGCGAAACGGAGGAGGAGAAACTGCGCATAAGGTCACAGATGCTATTATACTTTTTATTTTACGTTATCTGTGTATTGGAAAACGTATTTTGTATTGATTTATTCTTGCACTGGAAACCAACTGTTAGAGCGGCTGCCAATAATGCGTAAACGTTAGGGTTATTTTTGTCTATTTCTCACCGTGTATCACTTGGATCAACACCGCATCAATGGGGCTACTATTGTTGTTTAGAGGAGTAAGATAATTGATTTAGAGGGCTGTATGACGTCAGAAAGCGTAACTGGGAGTACATTGATCTGGTACAAGTTCACGGGTGGTAAGTTACAGGTTTGACTGCCGTTCCAGTGCACTTTCACGGGTAGAAGGTTGTAAAAACACGAGTTACGGGTTGCCTGGAACGTGCCATAAGCTGAATCCATCAAAGATCAACAAAAACTCTGTTTGCTCCTAGGCAAGATGCTAACTAACGTCAGCTAGCTTAGCATGTTAGCAAACAAAGACAGTTGAATATCAACTACAAGTTACTTATGTTTCAACTTTAAGTTAGATGGTACCATTTGAGGCTGTTTGCATGTTAAACAAAAGGAAAAGTGGGACAGTTTAGTTTTGCTAGCAACAGGGTAAAACCTGTATTAGAGAACAAAAGCTACATATGGGGGTCAGAACTAACGTTAGCTTAAAATAAAACATTATGCTGACTCATCCTGCTGTTTAAGAACATTGTTGTTCCAGTGCATGTTTGTGCTTCATGTGAATTGTCAAGATGTAGGGCACCTGACGCTTAAGACCAGAGAGCTTTTCCCTCAATTTTAATGTCCTCTTTACTTAAAGAACTCAGCCGACAAACGATAATGTAAATGTAGCTCTCAAATTCATATTGTTGTACCCTCTTTCTGCTTCTCTCTGATATTTAAGAATTCGTATTCCAGAAATTTGCTATTATTTATTGTGGAATATCTCTCACTGATATTGTTGAAAGCACCATATTGACATGCCAGGTGTAAAAGCCTGACAGGCTCGACAACAGTAACCAAGGAGGTGGGACTTTGCGAAGACAGATACTTAGATATCTTTTAAAATGGGTATTTTTTCCCCCTCCATTAAAAAGGTAATTCTGTTCACAAATCTTCGTTTTACAAAATATCTCCGTACACACTGAAAGGCAAAAACAACTCTAAACGCTTGTCGGCGCTAGCTGTCTCCAACATTCTCCCCTTGCCACAAAGGTGGTAAAGTCCATAAGCTAACATTACCTTTTACAAAACGACAACTGGAGAGCTCACCACAGTTAATTCCCATTTGATATGAGGATAAAGGAGTTCACTCAAAGATATGACTGATGCTCTGGATCAAAGAATTGATTTTAAAATACTTCTTATTGTTTTTACATGTTTTAATGGTTTAGCTCCTTCCTATGTTGCTGACATGCAACAGAGTACACACCACTCTCTTTGATCATCAAATAAAGGTCTACTCATTGTACCTACCTAACATCAACTCAGTGCTTTTAGTCATTATAGTCCTACTCTATGGAATTTTCCTCCACATGAACTACGGCCTGCTACGACAGTGTTCTTTTTTAAAAGCAAACAAAAAACACATCTTTTTTTTGCAAGCTTTTTGTTAGGTTTTTAAGTGTATTTGTGTTTTGGGTATTAGCATTACTGTTATTATCTCCCCTTTGTAAGAATAATAATAATAAGAGTACCCTCCTCTCCTATTTTGTTTGTTTTTATAATGTCCTGCTTGTTGTTATATATGTAAATCTTAATTATCTTATGATATTTTATGTTTGTCATGTATGATGTATCTTAAGCACACTGAGTTTACGCTTGTTGTATGAAATGTGCTACAGTATAACTTGACTTGACTATGCAAAATTTTTCCTTCCAATCCTCACTAACAACAGTCCCACTCTCAAAATGGTCCAACTATCTGCTGGTTTGACCAGGTCTGATCCAAAACCCTCGTTTCTGGGGGATTTAAACCGTGGACGCTGAGGTGGACCAAATAACAGTGGGTGCAGCAGATGCCTCCGTTTGTCCATGAAGTGGTGCAGCAATACTAAAGTTTAAGTGTAAAGACCAGGCAGTGCTGACAAATGAAGTGGTAGTCCAGGGTTCTTGTTATTGTTCCTGGCGCACGCCCATGACACACAGCAACAATTACTATGTGCAAATCGAGGATATAACGTCACTATTTCCAAAATGCTCCATTTTAGATTTCCACACGGATAGAAAGCAACTGGAATTTTGAAAAATCTGCACTTTAGAAGGCATTTCAAAATATCTTTGTTTTATTGAGCTAAAACTGTTTGCGTGTGGACGAGAGGCCAAAACATAAAGGAAAAGATACATTTTCAAATATCTGTATCAGTGTAGACATTGTCCTAAAAACAAGGACAATCCAGCATGAGCACCATTAATGTAGCTATTTGTCAAACATATTACTAAAGGCATTTATCTTCTCTGTATCTGCTTTGAACAGACCCCTGTCCTTCTTGTCCTGCATATCCTCAGCTCTCGCTTCATCAACTGTTATTACTAATTTTAGTGTTGCATTTATGTGATACTGAAATCTGAAAAGACATTTTGGGGAATCATTTTGAAAATGTTGTAAATATGGTGTTTAAATTGTACGTCATGACACTTCAGCTGCTAAAACAATATTTTTAATGTTTTATTTATGTGATATTTTACTGTGGTGTAGGTCTTAATTAGCAAGTTTATACTTTATTAAGTTTATATTTTTTTTAATTTTTATTCCTCAGATATTTTCCAGGTCTTGTATAGGACAGCTTTTGAACAGAACAAGGCTTCAAAGTCTTATAAAAATGTGAAAATACATAAGTAGCACATGTAAATCAAATTTCAACATGGAGAACCATAAACACAAACAACACTGACACAGGGCACGTAACCATGTATGAAACAGGATGAAACGCTGCAGCATGCCAGTGCATTGTGTGAGCTGGGACAGAAGTTATCACTGCGGGGTGAGCGGAGCACAGACTAATGAGACATTGTGACAGTGATGAGTAACATATTGGACAGACATCCATTGAAGCACTCGCTCCTTTAGTCTTTGTACATTTGGCTGTGCTACAAAGATATTTCAGAACCAGAATGCATCTGTTCGGGACGTTTCTGTCTGACTCTGTTAAATCAAATGGAACTTAATGTCATATTTTAGTATATTTGGATGTTATATGAATAATTTTTCACGCCATGTTTGTTAAATCCTGCCTACACTGCCAACACTGCCAGGTTTCACTTAATCATCTCTGTGGATTTCTTCACCCTCCACTCTCCATCTTAAGCACACTAGAAATGAGCACTTTTCACTGAATTTAGCCGACAAATGAATCCTTAATTGCCGCACTGTGCTCGGATCCTCTCCCAGCTCTTTGTCTGTTTGGCACAAACAGTCATCTCTCAGTTGGCCTACCTCGCCGAGCTATTCTGAAATAACTGCAGCATAACAAATGTGCAAACTTCAAAGGAAAGCGAGTACTATTTTGAGTGAGAGTGTCATTACAGCAGTGACTGTCAGACAGACAGAATCCTGACAGCTGGCAGACAGACGTCTGATACATGAGATTAGCTTTAGTAAGTAACATAGTGCTGCAAACATCAGGAGCCAGGGTGAGGCAATATCTGCAGCTCTCTGACACCAAAAACATGATGTGACTGTTATGAATCAATGTCAGTCTATTACGCATGAGTGGTTTTTTTTAGAGCGTAATGTGAGGATGGAACATTATTAGTATTCTAGCTATGTCTATCCATTATGCGTATTCAGTCTTTTTCTCTTACACAGCACACAATGCTGCGAGCGCTTGGCACTGACCTGCCGTCTGTCCTCTGGTGCCTTCAGGAAGAGAGCATTGATGAGGGCGATGGCGTAGGTTTGGATCTCCTGGTTTGACCTGAAGGAATATCAACCCGCGTAACAACCAGTTAGAAGCTTCGTGCTCCACAAATCTCCACAGAATTTAAACTACAGACTAACAACTATGCTACACAACAAATTCATCTTACTTTCAAAGCCATCACTACTTATACCTGAAATGGGTGCAGGATTTTTAGAAGCCCCTCTCTTACACCAGCTGTTTTGAATAATTTTATGTTTTTCCTAATTTTATTATGTGACCAGTAAAGCTAAGTAGGATCTTGAAAAATTTAGAAGTCATTGGCAATAGCTTTATTACCATAAAAAGATCAAAACCAACAATGAATGGATCCTACTAACAAATATTGCCTGCTAAAGCTTTTTTCCTCTTTGTTACAGAGCTCCATTGTGATCAAGAAACTATTACAAATCACACTGAAGAGCCACACTCAGCGTACAAATTAACTATTTTCTTTCATCCAACCAAAAATGCATACAAATAAGCCAAGACTTCAAGACGAGGGAACTGGGAATGCAGAAACGATAACACATTCCCACTTTTTAGGACTCTTTCCTGTAGCACTCTATTACCATGGGTATTTATGTTATTTTTAGCGACCCCACATACACCATCCTGCTGTTGTAAATACTCACTGGAGTTCCAAATGTGCATTAATGTGCTGCTGAAAGTAGTCCATAACATATGCACTATTTGCTTCTGATTGAATAACGTTTGTGAAAAGCTTGCAGGGCCTGGCTGTTTTAGGAAATTATGTTTATAAAGCGTACATATGGCCTGTTTTTTGAAGCTGGAGTGCAGCACTGCAGTGACTTTTAAGCACTGGCGCACCAGAAGTGGTGTGTTATACATCAGCCAGCCAGACTGAAAGAGGGGAGAGATTAATTCATTTAGTTTACATTAGATTATTTTAATTGTCTTTTTACGTTTGGCCTCATCTGTGTGCGTGATTCTGATGTTTTCCTCTGCTACTATATAAATTGACGGTTTGAAATAAGATAATTAGATTAAAAGAAGTAGGAAAAAAGTAAGGGAGGAGAGACCTCTGGGAGTGGAGAAGCTATAATGGAAAATCCTAAGAGGCGTCCAGGAAAAGTTTCTGGAGTGGATGCTTATCATAAAAAAGAAACTCTGCATTCAGAAGAAGGATTAAAATTAAATAAGGGTGTTTCTAAGGGGTGGGGGGATGCGGCAAGTTCACCTGCAGGGATACATTATTAGCATGAGTCAACACTGTTTGCGTAATTACTCTCATGGCCTGAGGGGGGAGACAAAAGTTCCACACTCCAGCTTTAAGGTCTGCGTCTTCAATAGGTACCAATGGGCTCTGCACTGAAAGTCACACACTAATGCATTGCTGGTTTTGTTTTTCATGGGATCTGTTGGCAATAAGAATAAACTAGAATAACAGCAGCCTTGGTGTTTGACAGGGGTCATCTAAGCATCCTGAATTCACCTTTAGAATAATGCCACCAGCCAAATATGGTGGCATATTTCTAATATTTTATTTCTTAAGTTACCCCATGCTGCTACATTCACTCATCTGCCCCCCCATTTCAGAGTGCAGGACGCCCCTGTGCGTGTGTGTGTGCTCACACTTGCAGGTGCCCGATGAGCTGTCCCACGGTGATCTCCTGTGCCACCCGATGGTACAGGCTGTGGCTGTTGAGAACCATGCTCTCCAGGATCGCTAGAGAGCGCTGCAAGATGGACACATCCACCATCGGCTGGTTCACATAGCCTGCAATCTGAGTGAGCACATAAGACCAAGCAACATGAAGACTGAATCTTTCACATCATCAACAGCACCCTTCTGAGTCAATTCAACAAGAGCTTGTAACCAAAAGTAGAGTTCCCTCTCCTGATGAAAACATGTATCTGTTTCTAAAAGAAAACTAATCCAGTAGAACAGAAAGTTTCCCAGAGTGACTGTCAAGACCACAAAGTTTTGAGAACAAAACTAGTCACACACTGTACACACTGAGGAAGCTTGAAATAATGTGGGGAGTTGCTAGGCAACGCCGCCCACACATTTCCGGCATGTAGGAAGAAAGGTTGATAAAGTAATTAAATAAAAGCATATGAATAAAAAGGAATAAAAAAGGCAGTCCTTGAGATTTTAACCCAGTGTTAATGAGTAGCATGAATTGCTCTTTTGTTGGAGGAGGTACCTGTTTGATGAAGGACAGGGAGATAAGGTCCCAAGACACAATGCCGTGATCCATTAGCTCCAGGAAGGCAGTGAGAGTGAAGGCCAGCATTTCACCAAAGCTGAAGAGTGCAAAGAACAGTCAGAGACACCTTACATCGTCTGACCTTGACCAACTTTAAAGAAATAATAACACATGGATAAAAAAGTAAAAACATCATCGCTGCCAGAAAAACAGAATCTGTCCTCACTGTGTGCCACTTTCAACAAGACGTGCCAGCGTCCCAATGCCCTCCATATTGATGAACTCTGCAGCGAAGGTTGGGTCTGCAGACAGCTTGGCGAGCTCTTTTAGAGCCTCCAGGCGAGCATCGATACCGTGGGACTGGATCCTCTCCAGGAGCTGACGAGCAGCACGAGCCTATCACACAAAAAACATGACTTTTCAAATTTAGTCACCCAACCATTCTCTGAACGATGATTTTAAGGCTATGCCTCAGGTCATTCTTTATAATATCTGTGTCAAAGTATTCTCAAATGGTTGTATTAGCACATCCTGCTAGTCTGTGTATTTCAACACTAATGCATTGTTTCCATATACTTTCAGTGCTAAATAACTATAATGTCAAAGTGCTAACTGTTTAAATATTACAACCTGTTTATATGTTATGAGTTAAAGGGGCAATGTGTAAGATATGGCTAGAATTTTAATTTAAAACATTCAAAAGATCTGCTGAAATGAGCATGTTAACCAGCTAGCCACGGCCAGTCCGGTCTTTTAATACCTTATACCTTTGGAGGCGATAGTGAGTCACTATAGCAACCAGTCTGTCTTTAATCCAATCTATCTCAGCGTTCCCTCTCCTTACCTTGCTAACTTGGTGAGACGATCTCACTGAATGGCCAGTAGTGACCTACTTTGATATCCACAACTATCAGATCACCAGGTATGATCATCATTTAAGCTAACAAAGATCAAAACCAGGCATTATAGCTTAGCTAGTCTCAACCTCTGACCCCAGACAGTCTGTCTAGTCAAATAAGCAAAATGCTTGCTGCACATAGGCATAGTGTGTGTCAGGATCCTACAGTTTTCCTATATATATTCTTCTAAATCCTCACGTCTCATTGCTTAAAAAGTCAGTTTTTCTGTTTAACAGCTTGTAAAAATTTTGTTATCAATTCTTTATTATGTTCTTTCATTTTTGTGTTGTTTTCTAGCCGTCAACTGTACAATGAATTGTTTTCCCTTCTAGTAAAGGTGGGACTTTTATGCACACTGTCTCTATAGGGTTGGGCAATTGAACGAATATATCGCTTATCTGGTATTGGCTGAGTACGTTGCTGCTGCACTTTGGGGTTTTTTGGGGCATCATTTTATTTTGCTAATTTAACAGTATGCCTCTAAAGAACAAGTGAGAGCTGCTGCAGAGCTTCAACTCAACGGGGTTAATGAAGCCTGTATGATATAAATTTTACCTGCCTTTGTCCAAAAATGTTGTTTTGTGTTTAGATGACTGTGAAATGGCCAGCAAGAGAACTTCAAAGTGAAACATTAAAGCCTCTATAGAACTGATGGGTATCTAGGCTTGAAGAAATGCACAACTGCTTGGAGCATGATAAGACAAAGCTGAACCAGATCCAGGCAAGTTGAAGTAAATCCAAATTATTCCTTAAAAAACAGCCTGGTGCACAGTGCACTGGGTAGCACTTTGTTTTGGTGGTGGAGGCGTGAGGTGCACCCACAGTTCACTTGGGAGGAAGGGTAGGATTAGGAAGAATATATTATCATACATTATTACTGAGTGTGTTGGAGGCTGCTATCAACCACAGCAAATCACATCAGCCCCCTTTCATCCTTTTAAAAGCAGTGTTCTCCCACCACCATGCACTGACAGTCAGGCTATGGAGTACAGACAAGCGTGTCTTGCAAGACACAAAAAGTTTGCCTACACAGAGGTAGGCTTTGGTTTGGTCCATGTGTAGAGACCTTTTCAAGGCACTACAAAATAAGAATTAGAAGACTGAGCAAGGAGCAACAATACACACCAGTTACTCATTGTACAAATAGCTCACTGTGTCTCACTTTAAGGAAAATTCAGTTTCAAAACTTCCTAATAAAGACACAACTGAACAGGAATAAACAAAACTGACTCACAGGTGAAATGGCTAAGCGAAGGATGGTCCCGTTCTTGATTTCACCGCGGCTCTGTAAGATTAAAAAGAAGATTATTTCTATATGTTCAAACAGTTATTTACAAAGTCATCATCCCAAGCTTAGGAAGGACACGCTGAAGCTCACCTGCTCAGTGATATAAAGCTGAGGCCCATCAGCATAGCGCAGAGCAAACTGCTCAGAGCCTGATAAAGACCAGCTGAGGGTTAGGACAGAGAGATGAAGATAAAATCATTAGATCAAGTGTTAGATACCAACCAAAGTAATGGGACATGAGGTGAACTTGTTGAATGTTTAATGCAGCATACTCCGGTATGCATGAACCAAATGTTGTTAAAGTTCGACTGCTCCCTCCAGCAGTTGTATTTATACGAGTGGCAAAACTGAGAGATTGTGGAGGAGAATTATTCAGTGGGTGTGAACAGTAAAGTGCAAAGAATTCTCTGTTTCAAATGGGAAAAGGAGGCAGTGGGTTGATGCAGCCAAGAGGTGGATGGTGAGATAAAATTTGAAATATTCATCACTTTAAGTACACGACTAAAGAGCAGGCACCAAACACTGAGACGACAGTAGCCCCGTTTTAGATAGGAATTGTGCAAATTTGCAGGAAGGCCGATCAGTCTTCTTTCAGCATTGGCAGTATAAAAACAAAATCAGGGAGTGCAGCAAAATACTTTTGTTTATACAGAATGCGCATTTTCGGGGTAATGGGGGGCGTGAGCAAGTAGCAAACGTGTCAGTGTGTGATGTAACAGTGACGTGGGAGGGAAGCCACGGCTAGTCAGGCGGCGATTCTCTCATAAGTTGGCCCGTTCTTCACCGCCCCCGTCATCTGATGGTTAATGGTCTCTTTGTTTGCGAGGACAAGGAGGGCGCGCAATTCCTTGTCTCCTCAGTTGCTCATCTTTACAGTGTCTGTCAGGTTTGCGTTTCCCTCTTGCTACTAGCTGCTCACTAATTCCTGCTATCAGTTGTTTCCTGTTTATCCGCCGCACGTGCGGTGTCATCAACAGCTCCTCCCACAAGTCATCAACAGCCCCTCCTGTTGCGGAAGGCCGCCTCGGTCTGTTTAAACTAAAAGGATTCTGCCAATATGACTACCCTACGAGGCAGAAAATTTGGCACCTCGGATCAACTCGCCAATCCGGCTCTGTGTGTCTAAACTCTCGCAGCTTGCCGGCAAAACGGCCCAACATTCGCTGAAAATCTGGCAGTGTAAAAGGGGCTAGTGAAGCACAAATCGCATGTTGAGACACAAGACGACAAGATGACAGATGAAAGAAACAATGGTCAGATCTTATCTGTGTGTGTGAACCACTGAAATGCTGTGATACAACTAGTGTCTACACAACTGCAACTACCGTGACAGGACTGAGCTTATTTTAGTCTTATATCATAGATGTACAAACATTTAATTAGTTGGTAATCAAACAGATAGCCAGAAATGATAAAAAACCATTACAGAAATATCAAAAAGTGCAGCAGAATGCTTACCCATCACATACTTCCCGTATTATTGAGGACAATGGTCTTTTCTGCAAACAGACAAAATGACAACATTGCAACAATGACAGCTTGTGGGGGAGCACATACTCTTAAAAAGCAAAATTACATTTCCTAAATCTATTAATCAAGACAGGTTATTGATTATAATAACCTTTAAGGTACCTGTATTCTGCATAACTAAAAACATCTCAGATAACTCATGCCTTTCACTAACAAATCAAATTAAAACATAATATTCCCATTCAGTAATCTCATCACTTTCTAAAACCACTAACAGCTAGCGGAAGTATAATTATTAGATTACGGTGAGTACTGTAATTGTTGTGGTGTCTCGTGTGGTGTGTTTGCTGCTCTGTTTGTTGTTTCATGTCTACCTGCCCAGGGACAACACATGCTAATTAGCTGCTAGCTAACTCTGGTGCTTTACTTTTAATTATGTCCTTCCAAAAATAAACAATAAGATAAAATAAGGCAAACTGGAACTTAATGCCATGTTTATGCAAGTACAGACCTGGTCCATCTCTATAAGCTGAGCATTAGCACCAGGCCATTCAATAGCCACCTTCACAATGTCGGCTGGGGGCGGCATGGCTGTGTTGTCGCAGCACCCTGCAGAAGAAAAAAGAATTTAATCTCTAGTATGACTTCAGTTATTGGACAGGATGTAGGTTGATAACACCAGCTGTTAAAACACTTTCCACTTCCTTTGAACGTTAAATTACATTTGAATGTGACACAAACGCCATTAAAATGATAAACAATGAATCATGTTCGACAGCTCACCTCTTCAGAACGTAACATAAGTACTACTTCACTGTCGTAACTCAGAGCTTTCCTTATTCTGCACTCCTACAGTGTGTCAAAATGTTTGGACTCAAGCAGAGCAAAAACATTTTTGGTTTTCAGTCTGATGTTTGATTAACTTGAGAGCTATATGAACTAAAGGTTATACATCACCTAATGGAGAAGTGTTGAGGGGGTCAATCACTCTCACAGCTCTGCAGTAGAAACCACTGAGTCAGCTCCCCTGCGAACACACAAACCCACACAGCGGTCGTGTCAGTGCGAAACCTTGTTTTCCTTCAAGCCCAAAAGCTCAGCTCGCTCCATCCCTGCATTTTCTCTCCTCTGAACTGAATCTGTCAGTGAGCAGATCAATAAGCATGACTGTTTTACAAAACCACCCACTCACTCACACACACACACACACACACACACACACACCCACACACATCTTGCCTGGGTTGAGCCTTCTGCCTACTGGGCTCTGGGTTTGCTGTGCTTCGTTGCCCTTGACTTGTTATTATTATTTCCAATAAATATGCCAAATATCATTTGTGCTTCACATTGCTTCACCAACTTTTTTTTGACGTTTTACTCTGAAGCATCTGACTAAAATGGCTTTGTTCCAAACACTGTGGTATCATGCAGGTTAAAGAAGAAAAAGCACAATGTAATATGCGACACCTCTCTTTCATGGTGGGACGAATAGAGTCTGACTTCAATGGTCCATTGAAGGCTTAGCTCCAATTGTAGTAAAGAAATTGCAGTGCTGAAATACCAGTGACTAACCTTATTTAAGAATATTTTGCTCACAATTCTTTAAAGCCAGGTTTAAAGTATATTGCTACATTGGCATTGGTTTTTGAAACTCTCATACTGTATATGTAGCTATCAGCCTCAAAACCCCAGTATCAGTCGAGCTCTAGAAGTATGTGAAAGAAAACACCAAGAATATCACTCTTTGTTATTGTAGTGCTTTAAAAAACGGAGTCCACAGATTTATCAGGGTCCCCTGACTCTCTTCCCATTTTGCATTGGAGCAATGAATAAATAAATTCACAAATAAATCATACGTACAGCAGCATGCCCCAAAAGCTGTGCAGAAATAGCTGCAACATAGAACAAAATGAAATATAACTGTCTGGCCATCTGCTCTAAAATCACATTTTATTTCTAACTCTCATGTAGATCACATATTAATTCAGTCTTTACAGCTGTTCAATTTACATCATTGCAAAAGCACAGTATTATTTACCCAGAAACATTCTCTGATTCTTTTATTAGCCACATTACCTCACATTTTATTGGTGAACCGATGCCTGTTACACTTGCTTCATTATTTGTTCTGAAATACAACAGTAAAAGGCAAACAGCAGCCGGTCTTTGGCAACAAAAGGAGATTTCTCTCTCTCTGCTCGGACATGAAGTGAGCATGAAAAGCTGTCTGATGGATTCTGCTGGTGACTGAAAGTCAGCGGTAAAGAAAGAGACACTGCTGTTCTGCAAATGGCTCTATGCATTCAAGGTGCTGTTTGTTTGAAAAGCAATCTTCATAATCACCAAATTGTTAGTTGTGAAAACAACCCTCAGCCTGCCTGAATAAACAACCGTCTTCTTGAGAGGTTTACCAGTGTTGTAGTACATTTCCAGCACTGCAGCGCAAGCCTTTGTTTGTCTGATTCTATAAATATGTTCACCTGTCAGCGTGCGCCAAAAAAATCACTGACGTCTGACACTGTCGTCCTCTGATCATTCGTGAAATAAAGAGCATTCCGCCCTCAAACATAAGTTTCTTCTTTTGAAACTCGGTTGTCAGCACATCGTTGCAGAGCAGCTGCCGGGTCCTCATGAGGAAGACATCTCAAAGTTGGAATAAAAATTTAAACTCTGGTACTATAAATAATAAGCATGCCTGAATCCTTTCATCTTGGTAACTTTGAACCAGGGGATCGTCACTTTGCGTTCTCCACATAATTTGTCACAAATTAGAGAGATCAACAGACTGAGATGGGGCGATGTATATGCGATTAACATCAACAACAACAAATTAAGTTGAACTCTGCAAATGATACCGAGTGAAAACTGCCAATTAAATTCAGATTCCAAGCAGCCATCTGATGGAGAAACCGCACCGCCTCCGCATCTTTAAGCAGACTGCCCATTACATCACATAATGTGTGATCTCTCAGCCCTTTCTGAAAGGTTTGTTCTTGTACTTAAAAAACACATGGGAAATGTTTTCCACAAGTTCTTATGCTAATCTAAATAATTCAGCACTGACATTTGGCTAAAGCTTTGAATGATGTTATGCAGTGTTAGAGCTGTTATAGTTGTTATCTATGCAGCAAAGCCGTGTTCCTTTGTGCCCATATTATTATGCAGCATGTAGGACTATTGATATTCATGATTTATCATCCATCAGTAACATCACATTACATTTTAATACGATGAATAATGACTAATACAACTAATAGTGATAATGAATAATGAAACACTATGACAAACTAATTAACCGTTTGATTCTTATTTTACAGTTTAATCACTTTAATTTATCAGTCAAATGATCTACCCTAATTGCTTAAATGATAGGCTTTTTTATATGATAGTATTTTGTTTTACACTGTAATAATCCTAGTTTATCAATCAAATTATTTTCCCAGATTGGAAATTTTTAATAGCTTTTATTATTTTTAATATGGTATTGCCTTTTCTGTTAGGAAAACCATCATTGGGTCTCTCGAGTATAAATAAAGGTTGAAAAAATCATCGAATGATTACTCCATTCATTTTTTAGAAAATAAACGAGAGTGCAGCTAAAAATAAAAGTTCTGGTCTGATTTCCCAACATTACCATTCAGTCGAATGTAACCACTATTAAGTAGACAATGCACTTGTGTTTTTCACGTAATGTTCCTATTAACATTAACAATGGCTCTGAACTTTGTCGTTATGCGCCACTGTTTTCTCACAAGTGCCCCATCGGTACTGCCCCATGTGGGACTAACTTGGGCAAATGAGTTGCTGGATTTAGTTGTCCTGTGCAATCTGACAATACTAAATTTGAATTTTTTAAACCACATTGCCATATCTAGGTATTCACTTTGTTTTACAAAACAGGAAAGCAATGTTTAAGTCAAGCCCGATTTTGCCTTACACAGAAGAGTGATCCCAGCAGTAACTTCCACACAGTGAGGCATACAGCTTATCAATTAAACACTGGTATCAGATTGGTCCTCAGTATTGGTCGGTGCTGCCCAGGTATCAGTATCAGGATCAAAAAAGTCAGATCAGAGCATTTCTACCACCAACTATGATTTCCTTTGTCCAGGAAAACAGACTCTGATAACATATCACAGACCTTGTTACACATTCTGATGGTCATTATTGGTTATCTCCATATTCACCTGAATGAGGCCTTTCATCCTCAAAGCGAAGCCTTAGTTTCAGGCACTTCTCTATACTTTCCACACCTTTCACTCAGTTTGTACATGAACCCACTCACTGCAGTCCTAACACCCTTGACTTGATTCTATTACTCGGGATAGAAATTTCTGCTCTGACTGTCTGTCCTGTCACATTCATGCTGTCAGATCTTTTTCTTATCAAATCCAAAGCGACACTAGCCCGTCTTTGTAATGTTGGCGCTGATGTATTTACCACTCGCCACATTGGTCCGTCAACTTTAACTGCAGCCTTCTTTGTGAGTGATTGCCTGTGGTCCCATCTCTGTTCACCGCAGAGACTGGACCTGTCCAAACCAGTGCCACTGACTTAAACACAGCTCTTTCTTGTCTCTTGACAGTCAGAGGTCTCAACTCTGAATTAATGATAGCATACCTACTTTTAATCAGGCCTGCAGGAGACTGGAATACAAATGGCCTAAATCAAAATTTGAAGTTGACTACCTCTTTTGGCACCATTTCTCTTGCTTGATCAGTAACAATTAACACAATCCTAGAATCATTTTTGAAATGGTAGCCAGATGAACCCAAAAGCAGCTGTCTGTTAGCTGCTCACCCTTTAGGACTCTCCAGATTCTTCTGCAGAACTTGTAGTAAAATATTCATATGTTGAACCCTGATAGATCCTGTTCTTACAAATTGTGACTATCTCAGGCATCCTGGGACATTTCTGTCCCTCCTAGCTATCAGTGCCCCATTCCTGATTTTTGGATCTCAATCTTCCAGCCTCTCCTCTACTGTGTGTCTCTCTCCCTCTGTGTTAATGGTAAGCTGTCATATGCTATATCGACTGTAAAGCCACTTAAGACACATTTGTGATATTGAGCTATATAAATAAAATTGACTTGACCCAGTAGTGCAAGTGGGCCACTGAACTGACACAGCTGCAGTTACTGATATGAATGATACCTGTGCCTCTCCTGCTGTGACATATTTATTTGGTGTCTCAGCTAAGGACAGCACAGAGAGGGAACTGCTTTCTATCATGACTACTGTTTCCTTTTTTTCCTACAGCCGCGTCATCTCACTGGTGTATGACTGGTGCTGGGCTGCTGTACTGGGAGCTTTTAACTGAGACCTCTTGGCAGCAGTTCTTTGGCTGCACGCGCTGCGGTGGTAGCATAGCAACAACTGCGAAGGAGCTCGAGCCTGAAAAGAAATCCCACAGTGTGGTCTGAGCCTCGTTTCTAAAGGCTAAACTTCTTCTCCTGTCCCCCACCAGCTACTTCTCACCGCGACCCGGATGTTTCTGACGCCATTTTACTGTTCTTATAATGTGGTAAGGGGGCTCCTTCTGTCTGGGCTGCTTCAAATAAAACATTCACACATGTCGCGAGGCTGTGAAGCGCCTAACTTTTGTGATAGCTAACAGTTAGCTAGTTTAATATGCGGAGTGGCGCCCCCTCTGGTGATACGACGCTTATTGTGAGAGGAGAAAAACAGCTTCAGCATTTTCCTTCATCCCATTGTCATAGAAAGATAATTAAATTAAAACATATTTAACGTTACAGTATTTTGCATAAAGCGCGATAACAGTCTTGAATATTAGGAGATGGTTGGTTGGCACGTTAGCTATCGTCTCGGACGTTTTAGCAGCCACTGTTAATTTCATCGATACACACTTCATGTATCATAAACTTAATTAAAAAATGTTTAAGGCCTGATTTTATATGATTTATCAGCCTGGGCTGGTGCTATGATAACCACAGGGAGCTCACACACTGGTGCAGCAACGGCTCCAATTTGCACCCTTGTGATATTTAGCGAAATCAATCACAACTCGCGATAATGTCGGCACGTTATATTAAACAGCTGCTAACATAGACAACACTACCTCCTGTTATTCCCTGAGTCAAAGTAACAGTAAATGTAAACTCACTCGCTATTACAGTCAGTACCAGTGTTATTCCTCAAAAGGCGGCTAACGTGATTCAGTCATCCAGCCAGTCTCTGCCTGCTCCTCCATTGCAGTCATGATGCAGCCCGACTCCCGGCGGCGGTTCGGGTACTGTCCTGATGGATCTACTTTATAAACGGCTCTATGATTTTATTAAAGCCTACAAAGCAGATAACATCGAGACTCAATGTTACTCACCCTGTGACTGGGCCATCGATGATGCTCTCAGTATCCCTCTCTCCCTCGCTCCTGTGAGATACTTTTGGAAAGGAGACACTATTCCACGCCTTGTAGGCGGGACACAGTGTAAATGTCACCGTCTGCTAATGAGACAGGCCCTTCATCTCATCATTACTGCACACTGACATCTTCCTCTAATGCAGACAGGTAAGTTACTGTGCAAAGGATGCGAGATCACTGTCTCTGTATGTATATGACAAAGGTGCAGTGACCTCTGACAGGGTCATAGTGAGTCTTAATAAGACATCTTACTATGCACAAGACGTGTGTATCTATAGCCTTTGTTTTTTCCTCATTTCATTAAATTTTACCTTTCTTCCAAGGTAGTTTGTATCATTTAAGTCCAAACCAATACGACCTAAAGCTGAGAATATCACTTAATAAGATGCCAAGTCTAAAATATGTATTTTTAGATCTAGGCCTGGTTGATTTTGCTCGATTTTACTTACAAAAAAGTCACAGACTACTGTAAACAATAAATACTTAGTAAATACTGTCTGATGCAACTCCTGCATGCACCTGTATTAAATGTCAGGGCCATAAAACTGATACATTGTTGTGGCCAGTAACAGTGTGATAGCCATAATATTACTCTTCCATTAAAAACAATGAAGGACATTAGAGGCTGTATTGTAATCTAATTTTTAGAGTGACTACTTCATGTTCCCACTGTCACTACAATTTCTGTGGCTATTTCTTGAAGTTTTAACAGGCAGCAATGCAATTTATACAGATTTAAAATAAAATATTGATTGATTGGAGAGCCCCCACATTAAACATGATTCACAATACAACACCCAGCAGTTAGTGTAGGAAAGTGCACCCACTTGCTTAAAGTGACAGTTCACCCCAAATCACATGTTGTTGCTCTTACCCGTAGTGCTATTAATCATGCTACACTGTTTTGGTGTGAGCTGCTCAGTGTTGGAGATACTGGCTGTAGAGATGTCTGCCTTCTGTCGAATATAGTGGAACTATGGCACTTGGCTTGTGGTGCTCAAAGTGGGGAAAATTTTATTTTTTTAAAACTCAACAGCAATGTCTCTTTCCAGAAATCGTGACCCAGTTAGTCAAGATAATCTACAGACCAGTTGTGAGCAGTTTCATGTAGGAACTATTTTCTTTCTCCCGAACTACACCTGCCAACCGAATCACCACACAGAAAAAAGGTGCATCTTCTGTCTAGATTTACTTAGTAGAAGCACATTTCTTTTTGTTTACTAGGTCTGTGGATTATCTTGAGTAACAAGTTCATGATTTCTGGAAGGAGACATGATTGTTGTACTTTTTTTTGGCCCTTTGAGCACCACAAGCCGAGTGCCCTCTAGTTCCATAATATATGAGAGAAGGCAGACATCTCTACAGCTGATATTTCCAACACTCGGCAACTCTCACCAAAACAATCTAGACTGATGAATAGCAGTACAGATAAGAGGAAAAATATGAATTTTGATTTAGGAGTGAACTGTCCCTTTAAGCCCTTTAGGCGTCTTTGTTGAGTGACATGTTTGTGTCTGACACAGTGACTTGCACCTGTCTGCCTGTGTCATGGTTACACTTGTAGTGTTCATTCCCAGGCACAGAAGAACTGCAGCTGCTGTAATTATCGGATGATACATCCTTATCGGAATAATAACAATAATTTTCTCATTTATAAGAGATTGGCCACCAACATTCTGAGCTTTCTTGTGTAAAATCTGCTAAACAAATGTGCCTATCAAAGAAACCTTAACATTTTTATATTGCTTAAGAAAACTAAATCCAACATAGCCATTTTTGTATCACGTTTCTCTCCTGAGAAGATGCACCACACTGGCAGCAAATTGCATTCACAGCACAATACATTTTTATTGAACACAGAAACCATGTGTACAGGGAAAATATCCACAGCCTCAACTGATTAGGTAACACTTGGCTCACCTCATGGGATGGATGCTGGTGAAACTTGAGGGGGCAAGCAGACGACTGCACTTAAATTCACTCAGGGAACAACTTTTGAAAATCAAACAACAGCTGAATGTTTTTAGCTCCACATTACATTCTCATGCATGACATCAAAAATAGTATTTCTGACATAATAGTTTCATCAACAAACACAGACATACCCAATCTCAAATGTTTGACAGGCACAGACACTGAGCCAAACTGCTGCTCTGGAAAGTCAAAGTTTAGAATTAGCTTCTGATTACATCGGGTTTATATAAAAAAAATCATCACCTTATATCAAGACCTATTGGATGCATTTCAGTCAATAACACATTCTGTAGTTTATCCATGGATCAAGTGTACCAGTAACCCCAACATTCACAGATAGAAAATTATGATACTGCAGAGCTATAAGCTCTTTTACAGTTTTCAGTGGCTGATCTAATCTAATCTCCCTTTTCAAATGTGAGATATCACAAAGTCCTCCATTCATTTCCTGGCAGTTTATATGTTTTATGTCATGCCATCAGAAAATTAAAATAAAAATAACTAACATAAAGCTTCAGTAATATCGGGAAGGCTGAGGGTAACAATATATCTTCGATGGTAATTTACTGACATGTACACCTCACTGCATCAGAGACACACAGACTGACACCAGCATCAACAGAAAGCATCACAGCTGTTTAAGGTTTGTAAACACATGACCATACATGAACACATGACTGCAGAGGTTCAGCGACACAAATGCTCCAGGAGTGATCGTTTTTTTGTTGTTTTTTTTTACACCATTGCACTGTGACTGAGAAAACACCAATGTTGTAGATCTGCCTTTTTGACGTCATTGAATACACTTCTTTCAGCAAAAACAAAATGAGCCACAGCAGATCCTGCTGTAATAAGGTCTACATCCAAACAATGCTGAAAGGTTCAGAAAGAAAGCATGTTCACTGGGGCTGCAACTAACAGTTGTTTTCATTATTGATTAGCATTATTGATTAGATTGCCAATTATTTTCACAATTAATCATTTAGTCCATAAAATGTAAGAAAAATGTAAGAAAAATGTGAAAATGCGCATCACAATTTCAAAGAGTCCAAAGTGCTGACTTCTAATTGCTTCTTTTGTCCAACCAACAGTCTAAAACCCAGAGATTTTTCAATTACCATCATAAATGACAACAAAAAGCAGCAAATTCTAACATTTAAGAAGCTAAAACCTACAAATGTTTGACACTTCAGCTTGAAAAATAACTGAAAAGATGAATCAATTATCAAGAATAGTTGGCAATTAATTTTCTATCAATCAACTAATTAGTTAATCGTCTAATTGTTGCAGCTTTAACGTTAACTACTGAAAACTCAGCTGTAAACTGAAGACTTCTTAGAGGTAGGAAATGGGCATGGAACAAAGTTCCCAGAAAATAGCCTTCACACGTTAAAAGCTGTGATAATAAAACATTATTTCTACCAATCATAAGGCCCAATGAGTGCTGCCTATAGAAGCACAGCAAAATATTATAACACCCTAATAACAAACAACGGCAACGACCCAGCGGCTTTATTGCACTGGTAGACTGCTCTGTGAGCAGCTAATAATTAACTACTGGCCGATGATCACAGACACCAAGCCTCAAAGAATCCAATGCAAACCAATCATGTTCTAATATTAGTCATTATCCTCTGGTTTAAAATTTTATGCAAATGTAGACGAATCAAATAGAGTTGTCCGATACCAGTATCAGTAATGCTTCCAATACTGCCTAAAAGTATAGATTGGGTGATGATCTGATACCACATAACTTATAAATAAACTTCAAAGTAGTCTCACATTTGGATTAAATGGCAGTTTTCCGAGAAATCAACTCTTTTTTGCGTCTCTAAAATGGTAGCCTACACAAAGAGTTGCGCTGTGCAGCCACTGGCAACAACTGTTTTAGAGCAGCGAAGAAGAACTGATTTCTGCTCAATTGGGTAAAGTTAGCTGTTAGGAAAATGCCAACAATTTGACGATATTTTACACTGCAAAGTCCCACAAGTTTAGGGTTTAACCTGAGCCATGCCATACAACAATGTTAGTACTCATTTTCCATCCATAAAGGGTTAGCAGTATACAGCTGGTAATTATTTATTTTTTTAATACGATTGTATCAGATCGGTACACAAGTTAAAGTATCAGAATTGGTATCAGAAAGGAAAAAAAGAATACTGGAGCATCTCTACAATCAAACCCAGACCTGGAGATGAAATTGGTTTAAGTGTATTTAACTTGAGTTGAGTCTGAGTGGTTTGCATCATTTATGAAGACTTGGATCTTTAAACTATTACACGAACAAATGAAACTTAAGTTATTTACTGTATGAAACAGCTGCTACACCTCATGTTTTAGGAAATTAAAAGCCACATAGGGAAGTAACTGTAGATTCTGCAAAAATACGTCCTAGCTTTAAACCTCGACAGCTCGTTTAAATTTTCAAATTACCAGTGGCTGGTAAAATACCCAATTTCACACTGATTACATTCCCACTCTCTAAAACAATGAGCTTTGTATGATACATTTGCATCTATGATGAACATCGTGAGTGCAGCTGCCATTTCATCGGACAGAGGGACGTACCAGGTTGATTAAATTAATTCATAACAAGTGTTTGAGAGCTATGACCGTCTAACCATCCAGCGTATAATGAGCCTCATTAACATTACTCCACAGCTCAGATGTTGATAAGAGTGTGAGGATATTTATGACACCAAATCCTCACAATACATAATGAGCAAGGTGCTGCAATAACACGGAAGTGGAGAATAGATCACACACAAGGAGTTGCTTCATACCAGATAAACTATACAGTGACTGTTCAGATCAGTTCAGTTGAGGTCACAAGTTACAGGCTCACAGGCAACACCATGCACTTCACAATGTAGTCTACATCTGTGTTCAGTTATTGAAACACACCCTCCACACACTCATTCTCTACATACAGTATATCACCCTGTGATGAGGGACTTCTGT